AGATGGAGTTCTTTTGATGTAAAAGTGATCAAGAAAATTTCTGTTTTTATATTCAGTGTTTTGAAAATAAAATATAAGATACCTTTCAGCAGCGTGAAAGAGGAAAGAATGAAAAAAGAATGTATAAAAAGTATAAGAGAATGACTGTTACTTTTGATGAAAATATAAGAGAAGGCTCGTTTTCAATAACGCTTTCGTATACAGTGTAAATATAATTTGTCGCGTTGACATGTTTACATGAACAGTATTTCATTCTAACTAAACATTGGAATCATTTCAAAGAGAGAGTATAAAATAGCTATGCAAGGAACACCCTGACTCAAGTTTGTTCAGGGGCTTGTCGAGAAATGTTTTAGGTCGGCAAAATATTGGTGAGAGAAGTTTGATTTGAGGTCAACATTAAGCAAAATAGATTAACAAAATGTTTGCATTTTGAGAGTAATCAAAGTATGATTATAGACAATGGATAACGGGAGTGTGGAATAACAACAAGTGTGCGGTAAATGGGCCAATAGGTTTGTTTAAAACGAAAGTTATAATATTGAGTAGTTAGAGACGGGAGCCTGTAATAAATTCAAATAGAGAATGAAGAATAAGGCTTTATTGGCAGAGAGCACGTTTTTAGCTGCTCTGAAAGATTTTCGATCGAATGATATGTTATAGATAACATCGAGGATAACATCATCTATAAACTTGCTGGGTCAATTTAGACAGTGGAAGAGCGCGACAGTCCGCCCATAAAGTTGGTACATAGATTTGAAGCAAAACCAGTCATTCCTTGATAGTCAAAAAGTGGCTGTTTTGTACCATAAATTATTGCATTAAAAGCAGGCCTGTATACATTGGAGCTGCTGAAAGACAGCAGAAACAGTTTTGAAAACAGTAAATTTTTGCTTATTCTGCCTTTCTTCAGAAACGTAATCGCCAATTCCTAAATTAAAGGCTATCAGATGCTTAAAAATTGACGGTTAAAAAGGCTAGATTAATTAGCTGGAAGTACGTTTCCCTCTCTGTGGCATCAAAGCGACACTTTAAGTTCGGTGATAAGAATCTCTTGCTTTGAAGATAGCTGGAATGGAAAGACAGGAACATAGCATACTTGGTACTTTTCGTCCGCATCTCCTTTGAGCACTAATGTTTGAAAATGATAAAATGTAAGCAGATGTTTGTATCAAATCGGCCGTCTTAAGCCTTTGCTGTGACCCTTTGATGCAAGTACAGCAATCAATCTAGCAAAAATGTTCCTTCACTCATTTCTATTATGTTATTTCCTTTTTCAATATTCTGCTTGCGTAGTTGGGCTCCTTCATTCGGGAATCCATCCCACGAGGCATTCATGATGTCACAGATGACGATCATGTCTCTATTTATTCAACTGATTTATTTTGAGTAGAAGTGACGAATGTTTTTTGAGAAATTGTATATGCACGGCTTTTGAGTTAAAAATGTCAACATTTTTTTAAGTCCAGACATAAGTGTTATTGTTAAAGATCGTTTTAGGAACGCCTTCTAATGATTTGTGACACTTGCTGTTGCGGTTTTGCCAAAGTCGTGACCTTTTAAAGTGTTTCTGGCCTCTGCACATATTCATTGAGATAATACCAGCTAGGAATCAACCTACTTGACATAATAGATGGATAACATCTGATACAATTGCAGACGCAAAAGGATGTAATTTAGCCTCAAGACAATAGAAAAAGAGCGTCATTTCCTTAGAAATTTTCAAATAAATTTTGGTAGAAATTTTAAAAAATTGCGGAATTTGATTTGCTCAAATCAGCAATAGCCAACCAGGCTCCAGAGTAAAAACTCATTCAAGAAAACGATTTTGATTTTCGAAAAAGACAAAATTTCACGAGTTCTTTATCTTATCATTGCCAGGTATGCTACTTCAATTATTTTCCTCCAAACCAAATCATGAGCGCAGTTTGTGATTAGAGTGTGAAGGCTTCAAAAGCCCCTTTAGCAAGTCATAGCAATTAAATACATGAAAACGTTTTGTTTTATGCCCATGTTGACTTTAGCACTATCATTTACAGACAGCGTTACCTTAACATCTTGTTACATGTTCATTTATCTACGTTGCTGTTAAACGGCCTCTACCGAAGTTAAAAGCCCAAGGAGACCCCGTAAGATGGGAGAGGTCTTAAGTGGGGTTCACTCTTAGAAAGGAGTCTGGGACCTAGCACTGATAGGACAGTGGGCGTTCTTTTTCTGATTAATGGCATCAAGATAAACGATAATATGGCACATAAATCTTAATTGCTAATACTACCTCAAAATGCTCTTTTCACCCTGATAATCTTCCTTTCCAGAATATATTGCCAATAATGCGACTATAATCGCATCGTGCAAAAGAAGAAATCAGGCGATGACTGCTTAAGCAAAGCATTAGATTAACCAGATTACAGGTACTCAAATCTGAGATGCCTCTTGCCATCGTCTTTCAATAGGACTTATTCGAGCTAGAATGCCAATGAACGGCATTTCTGAGCAATATGCATACATCATACATCCAAGTATTGCTTTCTCGATTAATGCCTCAGGGTAGCAAGTTCGTGAGTTTCTTAGTAATTACACCTTAGGAGTTCTCTCGCTCTCAGAATCCTTGGGACCTAAGATGTTTCACAAAATAATATGGGATGGTTGAAGAATTATTGCTGGCGCTTTGGCTTCAAAGAATAATTATTTTCAGTTACAAGTACAGAAGAAATGATAAATTTCAGAGAAAACTTCACAAGCTAGATCACATACTCATAGATTTATAGCGAGTATAGGGGTTGCTCTTAAACTTGGACCCCTGAAAAGTTTTCATATTGACCCCCAAAAAGGTACTTATTTCGAACATAGCTTCAATAGAGTGATAACATAACTCCACATCGTTTGATTTTCTCCTTAAATATACACAAAACGTGACTATAGACAACTATAACATGAACATAACTTGCTAGCTCATCGTAAAACTTGTTAACCCATAATGTATCCTTATCATAACATCATCACTTCACTAAGAGGCAACCTTACAATAAAGAACGAGGACGTGAATGTTACACGTAAGAAGGCTAGGACGAGCATAAATGCAGACAGCATATAAACAGGGCCAAATGAATGCCCCAAAAATCACATGGGCTGTGAAATGTACTGACTTTACAACAGTATTAATGCCCTGAAGAAAAATCAGATGCTTTTTTAAAGCGAGTGTCGGGATGTCTTGTAGTTGTAACAAAGAAGACCAGACTAATAACTTTGCTCATTTTATCCATGTGAGAAATCCTTTGCTGAATTGTTTCATTCTTCTGGTTTGACTTAACTTTACCTCTTTACACGTGTCCTGTTTGGTCGTATTTGCCTATGATCTTCTGGTGTGGCTGGTTCCAATTTTGACGATAGTGAGCAATGTTAAGTCCGTTTCCACCATTGCGACTTTGCAATGGAATCACAGTCGCCACGTTATGAGCTCGAAATATCTTGTGGTGATTGTGATTGGCTTCTAGGCCGAAAAAATCCGTTAGGTTTCATTTTGAAGGGGCTCACGTAGGGAAGTCTGGCCAGCGCGATTCATTCGGCCAAAAACATCGACTGTGCTTTGGTCTGTATCCTCATTATGGGATGCCATTGTCATATATGCCGTGACCACTAGGATACCGCCTGTAAGAATTGAAGCATCAAAGAAAAAAGTGCTGTACTGGAGACCATGAGCGTCTATGTCAGCAAAGGAACGGCAATACTCACAAAAAGTCTTGCGCATTCGTATTTTCTCCGAAGTTTTTATTGTGTATCATACGCGGCTCAAGTACAAAGGGTCTTCTCATTAGCAGCAAAATATTGATTTGACCCTCTGTGACAATCACTGTCACTGAAATCAAGGTAAACTTTAACTGACTGTTCCAAATCGAAAAACACACCCAGAAAAAAGGTTTTGATATCTGTGAAGCTCTTCATTTCAATATCAAGTGATACGGGCTTTCTTCGAATCAGTCATGCATGAACTTTGCCAAAGGGCTCACAACGATTTCAGGAAAAGAATGGAACTGGTCCAGAGCCTCCGACAAATGGGGGAGAGGGCACTTTCTTGCAAAACAATAGAACTTTTTTCAAAATCTTTTGTTAGATGTGATAGATGTTTCCTTGGCCTCCTCACTTTCAACCTGTGTCGGAGCCCATATGGTCAGTCTCAAAATTGTTGCATAGACAGCGCTCGAGGGCGGATTTTATAGAAAAATGATTGAAAAATGAGCCTAGAAATGTGATATAAAAACATCGAAGTCAATTATCAATTGTTAAATTTTTGATTGTTTAAACTGGTGTTACTTCTATCGGCGTTAAACTAGGATCGCTGTGAAAAAAATCAGACCATTTAATCGCAAGACGAGCTGCAAATTAGTGATGGGAAAAATAGCATTAGTTTCGATGAACTATTATTTAACGAGTAGACAGGAAGTGCCAGATAACATTAGAACAGGGGTGGGGGGTGGGGGCAAGCAAACAAAAGGACAACAAAATACCTGCAGATTGCAATTGATTGCAACTTGCATCTGAAAAAATTTGAAACTTAACAATTTACAGAAAAATAGATTGAGCATAAAGATTTATTCATAAGCAGGGACAATCTCTGACTGTCTAAAATGATCGCATATTGCACTCTTGTAAACGTTGCTTTGTTTTAAGTTTCCAAGAGGGTATCTCAAAATCGTCTTGATACTCCAGAATTTGAAAATCTTTTTCAATAAATCTGTGCTTATTTTTGGTCAAGGAACAGTTTATATTAAATCACCACTGGAATAACATTCTACTGTCTCCTTAAAGGTGTATAACTGCTTTCTCAACTTTATATAATTAGAACACAATGAAGCCATCACGCTTAGATTCGCACAATCTCGCATTTACAAAAGCCACATGACGGGGGTGCAAAATAGTGCATTGTTCTCCTTTTCGGCATCCTGTTCTCAATGAGAAGTTCCAGGGGGTTGAATTCAATGGACTACTTCGTTTCCTCGCAGATAGCTGCAATCACAGCGATTGGTTAACAGGAAATTCCAGGGCGTCCCCTTAGGGTTGGCCGACATCCCGAAGACAAGTGCAAGAAAGTTTGGTGAAAAGACACAACTTGTTCTCCAGTGCGGAACACGAGCAAATGCACGAAGGACCTCAGCAAAGTTGATGCTTTTCAAACACGAGCCAGGAATTCTACTCTTTTATCGATAGAAGCACAAGGAGGTCAGACGTTTTCTTCGAGTCTTCGAAATGATCCCTAAATTTACCATCCTATTTTTGACGGTAGCTTTCACTATTTCTCAAGGTAAGTGTTTTTACCCAATACTTTTTCTAAGCAATGCTTCCTAATTTAACAAAAGTTATCACACATTTCCCGGTTGATTGTCAAACATGAACCTGACCCCAAATATTCTTTTTAATAAAATCGAAATCAATTAGTATCATTTGAAGAACACCCTGACCCTACAAATGTAAATATCCACACGATTCTTTTCCAAAAGCCAATTCTGCTGGTCGAATTGTTTGGTCATGCAAAGTATAGGGCTTAAATTTACATGATTATTTATTTTGGTTCTTTTTGTATGCAGTTTTGCTGGTTCATTTCTTTTTCGACCAGATTTGTAAATGAGACGCTCAACCAACTGAACCATATTGCAAATTTGCACAATCAAAATTTATTTGTTTACATAAGGCTTAAAAGGACTTTACTAACACCAGTTTTGACCTGATCTGAGGATTAAATTCGCTAAAAATTCATAAAAGTTTGCGACCATCATGTTTAGTATAACAAATATCGAGTGAGCTTATTCCGATGTTGAGGTGTCATTGTATCGTTGGGGTTTGCCCTAGATACCAATTACAAAGACCTACTTTGCTCTTCACGGAAACCTCCTACAAGGCATTGAACCACGAGCATAGATTTCGCTGTCTCGACACTTTTGATTACTAAATATTTATGAGCAAAATAATGCTAAGAAATGCAATGAACAGGGTTTAATTTTGCCGAATTCTTACAGTATATATATTTTTTTAGTCTTGCGACTGGAGCCTTTTGTTTGCAGATAAGATATCAACCGACATAAGTGTAAAAATGTCAGTTATCAGAATATCTTTTCTTATCACTTTACTAATTTTGGACTTTTTGCTATTTTCTGATTTTTTTTCATTGAATTGCGATATCCTTTATAAAAGACAATCAACATGTCTTCCAATATTCGTATTAATTTTAGCGGAAAGGATACCAGAGGCTGCTTCATCGGGAAGGGTTCAGTCCAGGAGAGTGTATTTATACAATGGAGACTTCAAAACATTTGCCCAGTTGAAAAGCAATCGAGAACATCTAAAGTTAGCAAATGCGACAAATTTGAAGGATCGATATTATCAAATGGAAACGAGCTTTGGTACCATAACCTTTCATGTGTTTTCTACAGAAGGTTTAATTTCACCAAACTTTCGCATTCAGCAATTTGGTGAGGGAATGGACGCTGATATTCAGGGAAATCCTCTAAGAGACTGTCACTTTTCAGGAACTGTTGTAGGGGACGAGAATTCAATCGTGATTTTAGATATCTGCCGTGGTTTGGTGAGTTTGCAATTTGTAGCTTGTTTCAGTTAAATCCAACCACTGTATTTTTCTCTTTTGAAAACCATTTCAAAGTCCTACAATTTTCACTCTGTGGACAGGAGTGTTCCTTGGGTTGGTAAATCGCTAAATTTACCAGGTAATTAGCTAAATTTCCTGAATCTTCATAGTGAAATGCCAATATATTTGACTTTTACAAAATTTAAAATTGCACTGCTAACAGGCAATTTCTACACTTTCTGGTATTCTCAATATTTGTTGTGGAGCGAACGTTGTTTATGCTAAAAATTGTCCACTTCTATTGCTTTTTTCGAGTAAATCTCTGAAAGGACCCCTTTGCTACAGCCCTGTGGGAACTCCCAGTTCTGCCCTCTGAGTCTGCACACGCAAAGGCTCCGTTATGAATGGCTAGGGCTTTCCCCTGAGCAAGGCCATCCCAGATCTGATGAGGAGGGGGAGGGGGAGGGGGGCATAGTAAAAACACACAATATTTTCCTTTATTTGTACCGATAAATAGAAACAAGAATGAAACAAAGTTGGTTGTGTTTAAATTCGAGCGTAAAACACGCTTGACAAATTTCCTGTTAAGAATAAATAAACTAAACCCTTTCTTGATTGAGTAAAAAAATATCGAAATGAAAGACTTCGCATCTTTTGAATCATCAAAGCAAAGGCACCCCTGCTATAATCAGGATGTATTTTAAAGCGGGCAGGGTTGCGAGTCAGAGTCAATTGATTCATAAATTGAGAAAACCATCGTCCCTAAACGCAATTGTTAACTGTTATCTATTCGTATTCTGCGTTGAATTTCAGACTAAAGTCGTAACCAAAGTTGCTCAGGTTTTCCATCTCGACAATTCTTTGGCGACTCCCATTCATTCATTGAGATTTCTATTATTGATAAAGAATTGTGCATTATTTCCCTTTCAGTCGAAATGCCATGTGTATTGAACAATTTCCTTCAAAATAAAGCATTTGTTACGATATATTAATTCCTTGGCCTCTTGGGATACGCGCTGTTTACTCAATGACCAACATACAGTGTTGAATCGTTTGTTCAGGATGCTTCCTGTAATCCAATATTGTTGAGTCGCAACGCCAAGCATCATCCTCTATTTTCTCTTAATCACAGGGAAAGAAAAAAGGGCTTGTTGTACTGGTGCTATTAGTAATTGGAAAAACCAGCAGGGGTAGTAGATGCGCAGAGGGGTCAACCAATTGGGTTCGCACAAACCATTTCCCTATTTGTAAGGAACTACCCATTATTTTGGCTTGAACCGAAATCTACCCGGAGGAATATAGCTGCATTATTCATCATGGAACAATGCATAAAGGAATAATGAAAGAGTTTTGAAAAATACATAAAAGATCGAACTTTTCCAATCGTGCGACTCAACAATACTTGCCTTAGAGCCCTCCTTCGCAATGCTTATATTGTATTTCATTTTGACGAAATGTGAGCATTTTAAGCTTGTTAAATGGTACGCTTTTCTTTGCGCTTGTCAGAAGAGGCAAATAAAAAAATGAATTACATTAAGGTCGCTGTTGGCACTTAAAGTCTAACGGCCGTATTTCAGAGAATATTGATCATCGCCTTTGTTTGAAAAGTATCTGTCTCCAAATCCCCAAAGTGATAAAATAGGATTGGATTGCAGAGGTTATCAACAATGATATGAGATCGTGTTTGTGATCGTGAATTCACGAAAGAACAAGTGCAGTCACTGAATGATGGTTCTGTGTCGACGTCATAACGTGGAAATGCCCCTGGATGTTGTCTCATTCACGGACGCACATTGACAATTGCCGTTTTTTGTCATTTTCTGATCGTTCTTAGTTATAAGAGATGAAAAGTATTCAACTATAAAAAACTCATGTCTTGAACATTTTGAACATAGTAAGAGAATTAGATAAAGATGACAGAATTAGATTAATGTTTAATTACTAATTTAATGACTGTTGGAGATTTAAGTATGTACAACGGTTTTAATCAAAAAATTAATTATCATGCTTTATTTCTATTGTAGAGAGGGGTACTAAGGTGTTCAAGGGGAAGTTTCAGCATTGAGCCGGTTGGTGAAAATTTTAATCTTGATGAGGATGTTACGGAGCAAAAGCTATTGAGAATACCGGAATCTGGTCCTTTGTCATATAGACCAGGAAGATGTGATGCCAAAGGTATTTATTCGATTCATTCGATCCAAGTTGACGAAAACAGGGGGCTGTTTGGTACAGCTTCCTTTTGTCGGCATTTCTAAGGTGCATAGTTTGCCATGCAAGTGATTGGTTTTATTTTTCCAGCGGTGTTTTAATATTTAAAATTAGTATAATTTTATAAAGTATAATTTGGTAAATTTCTAAAATGCCCATAGTACCATTCGATTTCGAGAACGGACAAGTTAATTCATGAAAAGGTCTATTTGATAGAGAAACTCGGATGCTTTCAGGAACATTTCAATTACCAATAAAGACGACTGTTTAAATTCTGGGGCATGATGGTCTTAAATTGGGTGGGGGCAGGAAAAGGCCTTTAATTGGAAATGCCCATTAAATTTATTGAATTTGGAAGGCAATCTACCAGATGGCCCTAGAGGTGAATCATTTGCACCCAACGAGACCCCCAGCCTACCACCCTGAAAACCACTTATTTGCAGCTGAACCTGTTTTTCTTTTTACGGCAACATCGACAATAATTGCCATACAGTGCCTGAATAACTATGATATTAGTTGGTAAATTGATGAACTTCGTTGAAAAGGGAGTTTCAAAAGCTATTCTATCTGCAAAATGACTATTTTATCCGAAATTTTAGGTAGGTGAAAAACCACTTGGAACTCTTCAGTATTGTCAAATGTTGCAGAGAAGAATCTAAAAACACTGTACATTCTTTGGTTACAAAATTCTTGCTTAAGATCCTTAAATCTCCTTTTTTCAACATGCGGTCCTCTGGTACTTCAACGTATGTTTGAAGTGGAGAAGCGATGCGCTCCCGATCATTAAAAAATTGCCTATGGGTTCTTTTTTGGGAAGTAGCTTTCACTTCAAAATGTCACCGACGCTTAATCAGAATGCTTTGGTAAACTTGGTTTGCCTTTCATGACCGTATCATTCAACCCCATGTGCGCAGTAACTCTAAAATTGGTTCACAAATTGAAGAAGTCTCGCTACTTTTTTGAAATTTGTCCGAAATTTTTTTAGCTCCCTCCTTTTAAAAGAATTGGCTACGAATGCTCCTTTGTTTTGCCATCCCAGGTTACTGTACTAGACTTATTCCGCTACTCAACAAATGTAAACTTGGTTGTTCATAGTTAAATACACTCCTATTCACTAATGGCCTCGAGTTGTGGCTGTGGTAACTTTGCCTTTCAAATTATGGTCGTTGGCAGGAGCTGTAGCAGAACTTGTTAATCGTATTGGAAAAAGTAGTGAAAACCATAATAAGGTGCCGAGAATCGGGAAGGTAGACCTTTTAAGTATCGTTTCACTTCTATTGGTAACAAACAAAGACACAAACGGGAAACAAGGGTCATTTATTCTCCATTCGTTGCTCATATATTGACTTCCTGGCCTTGAATCCTTTTCATAAAAGATCCTTCCTTTGATTACACACCAGTGTTGCTTTCTTAGTGCCATTCCCTACCACTCAGATTTTACAAAGAAGCGGAAAGCCACCAAAATATGCCATAATGAGAGGAGCTTGGGGAAAGCCCTGACTTCATAATCAATGCTCAAGTCCGTTATATTTGATCGTTGCATTGAAATGATAAACTAATTTGTTGATCTATACAAAAGAATCGGCAGAGGTCCTCAGAACTATAAAGGTCAGGCTTTGTCTTCTGCCAGTTGTTCGCTCTTTTTAGCACAGCCCATTTAGAGACAGTGGAACAATGCAGCGCAGAGACCGCTTCAGTTCTGTTTACGGAACTGCGTCAAGCAAATAACCGTGAATTTCTATTCAAAAAGCACATAAAGCTTGGATATTAACTGAAAGTTTGAACAGTTAGATCTATGATAGGTTTGACCACCTACTACGGCCATCAAACACTTTACTGTCTTAGTACAGCAGCCTTACAGCCCATTTGCAACCCCTTTGCAGCTTCCTTTGCAGCCCCCTTTCAGCCTTGTCCTGTTTTTCTTTCATTAACGACCAGCCCTTTGAGCCTAGCTGATCTAGTCTCCTTTCCATCCTTTTTCATAAAAAAGTTACCTTAAAAGAAGAAACCAAGGACATATCACACCCCTAGGGGCTGCAGCGTTGGCACTCAAAACATAGAACGGGGACGGTATAAATTTTCTATGTTGATATTACTGTAATCCATAAAGATTCCACAGTGGGGCATGTATACTTCACACTTTTCCAGTTGATGAGTCAAAAACTATCAAATGAGTCTCGGTATTGCAATATTTTCTTAACTTTTTTTCTCGATAGGGAATGTTAATACCTCCCCGGCTTGCCAGACTCCATATTCATTACTCGTTAGTCCTAATATGGTACATGAGAGAAAATCCGGCTCTTGCGTACTTCTGAAAATAATCAATTTTCAGCGATTTCTGTTTAACCTTAATTAATCTCGTCTTTGATTGCCTTCTGTTGGGCTGCGGTACCCATGGAGTTTGTCGGGCAAGCAGCATCCTGTTTAGGTTACCTTAGACTAATTAGAGTTTTCTAATCTACATGGTTGTGAGCCGCCATTATCCTATTTATTTGTTTTCTCCATAGTATTGTCAAAATGGCGTGTGAACCTGGCCCTTTTTAGTCACTGCATTAAATGGCACAATGATTTCGTTTCTGAATTTGGCAGCTATTAATTGCATTTACCAAATGGCATTAGCCTACAGCCACCGAACGGAAAAATTACAGCATTGCAGTCAAAATGTTACTGTTTCTTGATCATGAGGCTTGATCAATGGGCAAATTGCTAGATTTGTTACAGTTTCTTTTGTTGGCTCATGGGGACCGATTTCAACATGAGATACTCCTCATGCAAATCATTTTTTTCAAGGCCCCTGAAGGACATCTGGCGGGAACTGCTTGTTCCCACGCAATTCAATTTAATTCGCTAGCCACCATGTCTACTGTCATTTACGACGTAGAAATATGTTAAAGTCCGCTTTGGCCAACTCCAGTTCACTGTATCAAGTTGGGTTGTTTTCGTAATAGGCGAAAATCAATTCTCAGTTCCAATTGTTTAGTGACAGCCCTACGTATGCAAAATTTGCCTGTGAATACAAGGGTTGGGTTGGGTTTCACATCTAATTTTAACAAAGTATGGCAATTTCGATAGAATTCTTTTTTGCTCGCGTGCCGCCGTGTGCAATATTCATCTCTGTGATTTAGTGGAAGATTCCGAGATTTTAAATGCATTAAGAAGATTTCTGCTATTAATTTCACGGTTGATTTTGGCCGATCTATCTAAACAGGGAATTGTAGACAAGGGATTGTAGACTGTTATTTACTCCTTCAAAGATTTCGTCAGGTCAAAACGGCCCGCCATTTAAATATTGATTTAACTGATGGACATAATCTTGATGTTTGAACATGAAAGAACAGATCGAGGGCTTAGTTTGGAAGGCCTAAGAAACAGGAGACACGGGATGAATGGGCCAACAGTTATAACAATGTTATACTATGTGTCTAAAAGTTTGCAGGGCAGTCCATCGGCTGTTAATAAACCCTGTTCATCTTGCTTCGTGCGTTGGTGTGGCATATGTAATATTGTAAATAAACTCATAGAACATAGGCCGACACAATGAAGACACCATTTTGTAAAACGGAGCATAACAACCTATTAATCTAAAAACCTAAGAATTTTTCCTGATATAACGCGATATCGAAGGCATAGATTTACGCGTCTAGGCTCAAGTGAGTATAATACACTATACAGTGACGATTGTACTTAAAATATTGGTTACACAGGTTGGCACGAGATACACAAATGTCACATGAAATTTGAAGTACCTCTTCGGCCTTTAAACCTGGCATTTAAACCCGGCATTTAAACCCATTCAGTAGAATGAAGGGCATTTGTTTTCGTTTCAAACATCATGTGTAGATGAGAAGGTCTTATTGTTGATGTAAAAAAAACAAAAATAGGGCTCTATAATGCAAAGGTGACCTGCTTTGAATTTTTTAAATAACGTCTACACGCTTATCGAATAAAGTATATTTGCCTAATGGTCAACTTTGCATTTTTCGAAGATAGTTGTTCATTTTGGCAACTGTAAGCTGTTTTTAGATGCTTATCAACTCAGTTAATTTCTTGAGATAATTGTTTGCGGCAAAATACTTTGAAACAAGTGCTAAGATGCGCATTCACAAAATAGACGGCCGCCTTACCAAACTCACTTTTAGCTTTTATTGTAAGCCTCTGCGGCATGACTATTACCTGCATATATTTTTAAGTGTGAAGCCATTTTAATCCTTTGAAGTTTTATTATGCGTTGTGACCATGTGATTTTGTAAAACTTTAGCATTTCCACTAGCATTTTTTATTTACGCTAAGTGGTCAAAGTCAGTCGTTCCCAGGCCCTTAAAACGTCGCATTCATTCACATGCTGCTACTTATCTAGGGAAGGGCGTGCGAACTTGTCTAGGGAAGGGCGTGCGAACTTGTCTAGGGAAGGGCGTGCGAACTTGTTTAGGGAAGGGCGTGCTAGCAATGGCGGAGCAAATACGTAGTACTAGAAATACTGGGAGCTGAAAAAGTGAACAGTTTTGATTGCGACATGATTTTAACCACACGGCAGCTATTACAAAAAAGCTGTGTGTAAAAGCTTAAATGTTATTCCGTGTGTTACGTTTTTCAAAATAGCTTGGCATAAAAATCTGTTTGTTTTTTGGGTATTAGGTTTTGAGGAGCATAGAATTCTTTCATTAAAGTATGGAATTGGTGTTTAATTATTGGAGCGTAAGGTGTGCACTATATAAGGAGTTTCTTTTTTGGACGCGTGCTTAAGGGGAATTTCGGTAGAACCAGATATTGACAAAGCCTATACAACTTCAGCACTTCTAGCTAACCGTTTTCTCTAAATGTGTCTTTTATTGACAGATCCCAGCAACTTGGAAAAGAGGTTAGATCACAACTATGACTTGAGAATTGACCAAAGTGGCGAGCTCGATGTTGTGCAAATCAATAGACGCCAAAGAAGATCAATTGTTCGTCGTAGATATGTCGAGACGCTGATTGTAGCTGACGACTCAATGTATAAAGCATTTGGAAAGCGGGAGATCGAACTGAGAAGCTATCTTTTGTCCATGATGGCAATCGTGAGTGCTACTTTGATTTGGTAACTGAAATATTCTTCAAAAGGCTTTTAATAAAGTCTTCTTAATGTCTACAATAATTTTAAAAGACCCCCCTCGTAAAAGCCCCCCCTCTAATAAGCCCCCATCCAAAATATCAAAAATAAATAAGCCCCCAGGGAACTAATTCGAGGATTTACGGTATATGTATCTTCAGATTTCGCCTTCACAGTCACTTGTTCGATGACAGTTTTTCACGATATTCTAAGAATGTTTACCAAAAAGACCGTTCTTGACAACTTGCCGCGACCTTCTTATAAAGAAACGTGTGTCACAAATGAACTCAGGCTTTTTCTGACATTCACCTCTACCCGATACCCGGCAGATTTTCTAACCAATGCAGTGTGCCAAATCAGCCTTATCTTGGGCGAGGACTCTGTATCACTTTTTGTCATTAAAGAGCTCACCGTCTCTTTGCGCCTTTTCCAGGTCCACTCTATGCCTATTTTTCTGTTTATAATTTTTTGTAACCCCATCGCTGGATCGTGTTTTGTAGGTTCGGAGAATTTTTCAAGATGCAAGTTTGGGCCATTCAGTGGAAGTTTCCGTTGTTAAAATGATGATTCTTAAAAAGCCACAGGTAAGGTTTCTCAATATCTCGTTTTCTTTTTCTTTGCGGGGATTGAAGAGAATGGCTAGCTCTCCTTCAGTATAGAACCTACAGAGTATGTCCTTTTCGGTGAAGAACTCGCTTGCTTTATCGTCGCATATTTTGAAGCTTCTCATAATCTACTGTCATAACTAATTAAGCTTAAGTTGATTTTTATGCCAGTTTTAACTGATAAGGAGATTCTTTTTTCTAGAACTTTTCTCTGCATTTGGCTCTCTAGGGAAAAGAACAGGGCTATGAACTATCAGTTCTCTGAGCCTTAACACTACACCGTAGGTTGAGAAAGCAATAGGTGTGCGGGCACATATGGCCGCAGATATTTAGAGTTCGGCATTTAAGTATTTACAACTCCTGCGAAAAGATGAAGAGTAGATGGCATCGTGAATCAAGGCATTCGTTAATTTTCTAGAAGATGGGCTATATGAGAAATAAAATAAGTCTTCAATTCACCCCCCAATTTAAGCCCTGGAAATGCTTCCACTCTTTTGTGGTGATTTCCCTGCAGAGTAAATTCTCTTTTATACGATTTCTTTTTTACGATTTTTGCTACATCGTAAAAGTTTTAACAAATAATTTCATCTATTTAGTTCAAAGTTGAGGTTAATCTTTGCTTGCAGCTCCAGGTGTCTTTGCTGTGCCCACTTCCTTCTTAAGTTGTAACGCCCTTTTCAATCATTTTTCAAATTGCCTGGGGAATTTTTCTGGGTCTTGATGACACAAGGTTGCTTCATCCAATTGACACCAGGGAGTGTATAGTAGATTGAGGTCGCGATCAACTCCGCAGAATTTGAAAATCGTTTATAGTATTACAAAAGAATGGGAACCAGCCGCTTCGCTGTTCATCCAATTTGGATTTGAAGTTGTAAAATTGAAATTACTAGAAAGATAAATCTCCAACGCTGATTCTCTACTTCTGTTTAAGCACCTTGTATGTCACTGTGTCTCCTCCATTTGTCCCGCAGTAGATGTTGTTTCACTGTTTATATCCTTACATACTTGATGTTTTGTAACATTTTATATACTTTTTATTTATTTCTTTCTATATTGAAGCATAAATTTTTTCATTACATCTATAGTTAGTTCCTGGTCGTGAAAATCAATTGCAATAAACGATAGATCTATAATTAATTGCAAATTGTTTGATTGTTTTGTTGCTCTTCTAGCCTGATTTGGAAATTCCTCAACATGGAAAAGACAGTGCCGACGTTGCTTTGAAGAACTTCTGCAAATGGCAAAAAAAGCACAACGCCTTGAATGACCAAAGTTCCAAGCATTATGACGCTGCCTTTCTTTTAACGAAGTAAGAAAACAAATTCAGCTTTATTTCGAGGAATTTCCATTGTTCTGCTCCTTTAGAATCTGGTGCTAAGCCAAATAGAAGCGGTTCCCTTACTGAGGTTATACTCCCCCCTGCTTGAAAAATAATACACCTGTCTCTCTAAGACGGAGCATACGACGGAACTGCTTTTCAATGCTGAGCCGGAAAACCAAAGTTTTTGCGATAGAAATTTGCCACACATGTGCTTGATAATCGTATCTATTTGAGGCAGCTATTGCTCCAAACAATGACTGTACACCTGAAAGGCATTTTTAACAGCTACCATACTAGTAGGCTGAGGAATTACTGGGTAAAAGTGCTTTTCATCCTCCCTAGGGCACGTGACCTGGGAAAGCAAAATGAAATGTTCTTCCCAGTTTCAATGGATGGAAATAGAAAAGCAGATTGCTAGGCCATTCTTCCATCGCTGTTCATCTAATGTAATGCAACTTTTTTGCTGCAAATCTCTTTTTGGCGGATTTTATAGCTGCGCAGTGCTTTCTTTCTATAAATGATATACTGTCTCCTCTGAAAAGTAGAGATTTTGTTCTTTACTCAAGAAATGACCCCATCAAAGGTCGCCTTAATCGGCTGCTTCAACTTTTCAATGATATCTTAAAAGTTGAAGTTTTAAATCAAAGACAAAAATGAGCACACGTACACCAATTTGAAAGTATTCTCGCTACTTGTGAGTCGCTTCCAGTAGCCCTCTGATATTGATGATCATAAAAAATGAAACACGAAACACTGCAAATTTCCTGGGAATTTTTTTTCATTGTCTAAAGAAAAAATTGTTCATGTAAATGGGAAACCACGAGTTTTCCAAAACTTTCAAAATTGATTTTTAAAACTGTCAGTTATTTAATAGTATCAAAGTATACTCTGATTTCGCGGGTTCCATTAATTTCTAGCGACAAAATTTGCTTTTGCTGTTTAAGCTGATGGGAGAATGCTCTGAAAAGGCAAAGTACATCTTGTATTGACTCAAATGAACGCCAAAATTGCTAGGATATCACAGCGAAAATCCGGTATCTTTGGTTTTGCAATGCGTAGATTTGCTGTTTTATTTGTATTACAAAATCAAGAGCCCGGTTATCCCGTTGCTGTGAAATTCTGATTAAAAACATGGTGACAGTGAATAAAGGAAATGATCGGGGAAGTTTCCAGTCGATTGCAACCCTACATGTAGATATCTAGTGTCTTACATACAAGTATTGTACGTCAAATGGGCGGAAACAGCTATTACTATTTCCATTTTCATGGCAACTGAATCCAGTTTTTACCGTATATTTTCCACAGACAAATATCTAACTTAGCCTTTTTAAGAGGGTCTGGCTGTGCTCGTATACGTGATTCATTCCAAATTGTTTCGTTTCAAAAAGTGGGACGCTCGCAAAGTCGCTTTCGCAAGTAAAGCGCTGTCAATCTCACCGCTCCATCGCAAAATAAGAACGCTCTCAAAATACTATAAAAAATTCCGCAATCGTTCACTGCCCTTCTCGCGTGAACAGGTGAACTGACCCTAAAATGCGGAACGATTTCTAATTTGGCTGTCTGATTGTATCAGTCACGATAGTGGCTCATGAAATACGAACATGCGCATAGGCAATCTCTTTTTCAAATTTGAGCATCAAAAGTGGAACAGAGATATTCTCTTCCCGTATGTACAAATAGTTTATCTCGTTCCGTCGCAACACGCTCTCAAAATGCTATGCAAACTAAGCAATCATTCTCTGCCGTTCTTGCGTGAACAGGTGAATGCTGTTCTCGCGTGAATGCTGTTGGAACGTTCTATTGTAAATTGGCGCGAGTGTCTGTTTCTAGGCCTGTTTTTGAAGGCATTTTTTTCTAGGATATTTTCTAGTAGACTGGATGTGTTATTGACCTTAGTGTTGAAAAGCACCTATGATGGCAGTCGCCTCCTGTGATGATTGCAGAGAAGTAGTTTTCGGAAACATTCTCTTTGCACGTGAAGAATCGACCTTCTTTTATTTTGTATGTATTCTAATTCGCCTTCAGTTGACTCCAACGCAAATCGTTTTTGTCCAAAACGTGCAAGCAAAACGTCCACCATAATTATCTGAGATTGTCTCCAGAAAAGTGAAAGGAGGCCGAGTGTTTCTTCAATAGGAATGCCTAAGTTTTATAAGCTTTTTCGCGCACAGTTTTAGTTACAGTGTTGCCACGACTATTTGTTATGTTGTGAATATGCATTTTAATTTTAGGAGAGACATATGCTCAAAGCAACGTGGATGCGATACACTCGGTTTGTTTGCCTCCTTCCATTTTACTTCCCTTTTTAATATACATCCAATCAGTTAAATGAACTTCATATCTTTTGTATACACAGGTAGAAAGTTTTGAGTACTGCCTAAAGAACCAAACTCTTCATATATTTTCTACGGGCTTTCAAGGCAAATAAGAGGAAATAGAATATGAAGATTCGCATATTTTTCTAGCCTGTGCCCCAGTCCCCAAATGCTGCCACATTTATGGACTGTGCAATATTGATAGATATTCTGTCCAGACAGAGGTCTGGGTCTTTATTATGAAAATAATTTATGCAATGAAACTAGTGGAATTCGAAGAAATATTCACTGAAACCAAACAGGACGTAGATAAAATGGTGCATGAAGAGGACAGGATATTTATCAGATCCTGGTGGAAACTGTGGACAGGATTTTTATCAATATTGCACAGTCCATAAATTTGGCAGCATTTGTGGACTGGGACACAGGGTATTCTTTTTCTTGCTGTTTACAAATTATCGACATCACTTGTTCGAAACTTTTTCATTTTCTTTCAAGAATTTTTCGTGACGTTCCCAAAAAGAGGAAGGCAGCTACATAGCGTGACTATAACAATTTTTGGGTGCCTTGCGGGTGTTGTTTTGGGAGGGCATCTACTCAAATGGACTACCTTAACAGTTCTTTAAATAGGGGATCTTTCGCCCGCTGTATTGTGGATATCTGAACAAAAGCCTTATTTTCGATCAAGCCCTAAGGCATTCAGTTAGAAGGCAATCAGTGGCGAAATGGACTAATCCTTAAGATGCCTGTGATAAAAAAGCACAAGTTGGAAAGACATTGCAGCCATGGTGTAAACTGCAAAATTTCTACTGCAATAGTATTTCAAGATGGTTAAGAAATCCAATTGGCAGCCTTTCCCAACAGTACTTCTCAGCCCTACAGATAATCCAAATCCTACTGACAGCTGGCAGCAAACTAAGCGATGGCCTCAAAATCGACCTATCTTCCCTTTTCGTTTTGATCTTTTTACAATTTCATCCAACTATTTATTCACTTAAATTTGTTTAATTCTTTCGAAAAAACCACATTATAAAGCAATTTTTTGCTAATCTCATTTATGTTCCCTCCCGCATGATATTAAAATTTTTCAGGACACAGGAATAATCGAGAATTGTTATCGAAGGGCTGCCCTTTCCTCTTAAAAGATAAACCATAATAGAATTTTATGAAATAACAGTGGAAGTGCAAATGATATTCATTTTCTTCAATATTAAATTTAGAGCTTTAAGCTACAAATATTCAGAAAGTAAAATTAAGTGTCTATACGCTGTCCGCGTAATCGAGGCTCAAGTGACTTCTCATTTTTAAGGGCAATCTCAGTTGTGTTTCTAAAAAAGTCTGGGTTTACTTTGAAACTACGTGTTAAAAACAGCTAAAGGTTTATAATCGCGGCTTCCTTTTTCAATAACCAAGGAATCCGACAGAATTGTTTGAACCCACAATCCCGTGATTTTCCATAAACTCAAATCCAAATACAAATTCAAGCTGGGCCATGATATTTCTTTGAATATAATTGAAATTATCAAAAGTTTTCATGCCCACTTTGATTAATTCTGCTTTAAACCACAAGTGAATCACTGCAATGATTTGTCCCAATCAATGCCCTAGTCTTTTTGGCCTTAGGTTTGGCTGAGATTGGAGTTATTTGCGATCCGCAGAGAAGTTGCGCCATCATCGAAGACAATGGCATTGCTGCTGGCTTCACCATTGCCCACGAACTGGGTCATCTGTACGTTGCGCCACTTTATATTCACGCTTATTAGATCTAGAAAAATTAAAATAAGTGATGCAAGTGTTAATTTTTTGTTTCTGGTACAGTTATTCCAACTGTATGAAATAAATAACGCAATCCTTGAATGTATACTATTTCTTCGTGCAGATTCAACATGGCACATGATGGAATACAGAACGACTGCTTGCCTGAAAACCAGGGGCTGAACATTATGACGCCGTCGTTCAGCTTGAATGCCCACACCTGGTCATTTTCCAAATGCAGTCGTCAGTACATCACCAATTTTTTAGAGTACGTATTCCATATCTTTCATCTAGCTCCAAAATAGCACACAACTTTTGATCAAGTAAGAAGTGGGAAGACCCAGAAGTATTCATTCAGTGACTATTAATGCAGGGTTGGTGAGAGTGCCAAATGAGGTAAAATGAGATCGAGGTACACTTGAAAAAGTAGCTACTACTAACTAGCACGTCGAAGGGGTACTTTTAAAGGTCACTGAATAGACCTAGATAGGTCAGTCGCAGACAAATAGAGATGATATAAATCAGGATTCAAGGTCTATCTTACAGACCATAATGTAGTAATACAGTTTATAATAATGACCTGCATATGATTAATATCAGAGGTGTAATTAGAAGTTTAGATTTGTTCATGTGGCTGCCCAGCTTGCTTTTTTTTAGAAAATTTCCTGTTTAACACTAATTTTTCTCTGCATTGCCTCTTTTTCAGGAGTGGTGGTGGCCACTGCTTGTTAGATAAGCCTGCTAGCAAAGTGGTTTACAAAATGCCAAGGAAGATGGCTGGAGAAATGTTTAATCACGAGGAGCAGTGTCAACTCGTGTTTGGAGACCAGTATGAAACCTGCTCCATCATTGTTAGTATAGCCATTTTCACAAACGTTTTTCATATAAACTGAAATCTACCCTTCCATTCTCTATAGATCTTGCGAAGCATCATAAATTTAGTAGAGTAATGCTTATGTTTGTGAATAAACTCGCTCGCGCTCACTTCGAGCCACTGCTAGCAAAATATTTTTCGATCTTGCTTATGTGTATTTTGGTGCATCATGATGTTTGCAGGGCAGATTGAAAGTCCTTAGTTGTTTGTACGACTTACTTCAAAACAAGGCTGAAAATTTGAGCTGTCTTTGGTGGACAAACAGCTGTCTTTTTTCTTGGCCTCAGTTTTGCCTGCTTCATTCATTTTTTTAATGGTTGCATTTGAACCATTGTACTTTGCGTGGTACTAAAATATTAAGGTTACCAAATATGTAATGATGGCCTTGAGGTGTATTGAATTCCAAGCAGAAAGTACAATCGAGCCATTCATGAGAACCAAAACATTTTTAATAGTTATTGATATAGATTATGGATGACTTTTTGTCATACACGTTCTTCAGACTATAATAGAAAAGCAAGAATTAAAATTTAATCCTTTAATACGGGTAACATCCTTTTTTCAAAATCCCCCAAAAAGTGGAACATCATATAGCGTTAATTCGCTTAATCCTGACATCCTTCCATTTCTCATGAAAATGAATAATCAAAAATATTCTATTATCAACATCTGATATATTTAGCAAACGCAATTACAGCTAGGTTGATCTTTGTTATAATGCAAGCTGGCAACTAGTATCATTAAACCCAAAAATCCTCTCGGCTAACTTCTGCAAAGGCCTATACAACCGAATCGATGCTAAATAGTGTCTCTGATAATCTTACTTTTCTTTCTCAGTGTTCGACAAATTTTAGAATCTTGCGTTTTTTTAAATGTAAACAATTTTATTTTTATTGTCGATACTTGATTTATACAACTATAGAAAGTCGATTGCACAAAACTCTATTGTCAAAAGAAGGGTGGCATGGTTAACTCAAATGGTCACCCTACTTGCTCAACAAATAACATGGCCCCTGCTGAAGGAACCAGTTGCAGCAAAAGCAAGGTACTGAGGTTTAGATTAACTTTATGTTAATTAACACTATTTCCACACGCTTCAGTTTTCATTCCCTTTTCTAATGCCTCTTTTCTATTCTCCTATTCGCCTTTTGAAGGTAGACGTTGGAAAGATCTCTGTGTGAATCAACTTTGTGTTCGTTTTCTCCTGCAAACAACCACTTTGCTTACTGTAGCAAAACAAGAATATTCTATTTATGTGTATCGTGATTTTTTTAGTGGTGTATGCGTGGCCAGTGTGTTGAGAGGAAGAGTATAAAACAAGTTAATGGCGGATGGGGCAGCTGGTCTCGATTTGGTGCTTGCACTAGGACCTGTGGAGGAGGAGTCATGAGCTCTGAGAGGGAATGCAATAGTCCAAGGTTAGTTTTATGCGAACTGGTTAGAGTTTCAATCCAGCCTCGTACCCATTTCGATGCCCTTCTCTCCTTTGAATGACCTTTTCTCCGTAATTGCTGTCTGAAATGGATGTCTTTGATGCTTCGCCGAAAGCACAAAAATTCTTTTTATGTTAGAACGGAGCCGGTAACGCCTAGATATAAACCATACGAATAAGATAAGCCAAATATCCTCATCTAGAGATAAGAGAAAGTTTGATTTAACTGGTGCAAATATTCTCACCATGAATGAAAAGAATAAATTTTGCCAAGGAAGTTTCTTTTAGTGCAAACCCGCACAAAGACACTTGGTTTGTTTCAATATGCCATTTATCAAATGCGATTTCTCGTTGTAATGTGTTGGCGTGACTTCCTTCTAAGCGACCTCGTTCAAATGTAAGAAGTGGCCTCATTTCCGGAACGTTGCACCTTAATTTCCTTTCTCGTTTCTAATTTGAGTTTCTTTCTTCGACGATATGGCATGCGGTTTCTTTCTTTTTTGCGAAACACAAGATTTCTCACAGCTAGGTTGACCTATGCTAGTCTTTGATTACAGATCACGGCCAGCGTTCTTTCTTAAAAATCATGTTTTGAAGGGCGTAACTGGTTATACTTCAATTTATGTTAATTTTCCAAAGCAGCTAAGGCTGTTTCTATTAGACTCGTCAATCAATGAATGTAACTGTTTAACTGAATGAGAAGTCCAATAAAGCCAAGTGAAATTGCTGATTTAAGGAAACAGTAGCGAAGGAACTGCTACTTTTAAAGATAGTTATCCCCTAGAAACATGCCAGCTTTATTTACTGTGATAACAGAACAAGCGTTAAACACAAGACTCGAGCATTGAAAAAGTCGTAGGGTTTTTTAGTTTTATTTATAAATTCAACCCATGATCCTCTCTGTGCGTTCATGCGTAGGTAAACTGTCGCAAAGCCGTCCAGACAACTGAAACGTGTATGTCAACAATTTATGTTTATTAACATAACGGTTCGTGAGAAAGCTATCATGTTTATAAAAACAGATCCATACTTTGTTTTGATAACTACAGCCCTGTTGCTGAGGCCGGACAGGTCAGTGGTAGCTTGCTGCTTTGGCTCCATAGACTCGCACCAATGCTTGCGTAATTGCGAGGCCCAAGGGTGGTCGTGTATAGAAATCGCTGAGGTGGCTTTTTCTCTGCTCCTTGTTTTAAAGGCCATTTCGTCATATAAACCCATTAATAAATAAGACCAAATGTTTTTAATGGAAAATCTGGTGCAAAGAGGGAAAATTCGAATATATATATAGAGTTATTCTTTTGAACTGTTCACAGGTAATATAAATTCAAAAAACTACATCCATGTTTAAGTAACTTTTACCCATTATAACGTTTCTTTTACAGTCCTGCGCATGGTGGCTCGTATTGCACAGGGGTGAGACGAATTTATCGCTCTTGTAATCCACAGGTGAGTCCTTAAGTGTAAATTTTTCCTTTCTCAACTGAATTGAATTTAGGAGATATGATTCAAATTTTAAGTTAGCATCTTACCTTAACTTGTAACCAGATTTAAAATTTCTTCTTCTCTAGCCTTGCCCGCCCAATTCAAAATCGTTTCGAAGTCTGCAGTGTGCTAAGTTTAACGGTAAACCTCTAAAAATAAATGGAATTCCAAAAAGTGCGCGATGGATACCAAAATACAAAGGAGGTAACATATTTTAAACTTTCATCCTCATTTTCTAAATAATTCAAGAAACTCTTCGCACCAAGTTTGAGTGCACGCTTGAGTCACCTCTTGTAAAGGAGTGACCGCTTTCTAGACTGGAAAAGTTTAAAATCCCAGATAAGAGCAAAAACGTTTGCATGTGCGAATTCAACATTTTAGGCCGCTATTTTTGATACCAATCAGCAATTTATTTTCTATTTTGCATATTTTTTATTCGCAGGCTTTTTATTTTGATATGTCTTTTGTATGCAAGTGCTGAAGGTCTTAACCGCCTATAAGTTTTGGGAATTAATAATAAATTTCATTGCGAGTTACTAGACATCCCTTCACTGGTTTCGATATTTAATAGAAGGTATATTGCACTTTATTATCTTTATTTGATTCGATAAGTTTCTACCGGGATACAATTTTTTATGCTTTTTACAGTCAAAATTGAGGATTCTTGCAGACTGTTTTGCCAAATGGAGGGTTACACGATCTATTACGAATTAGCAACTAAGTGTATTGACGGAACGCCATGCGGAAAAGAAACTTTTGGCGTATGTGTGGAAGGAAAATGCAGGGTATATATGTTTGCAGTTCTTCTTTAGGTGTTACATCTCTTGTCTCTTTTAAACTGAGCCATTTTTATACAAGAATATGACATTTCCCTTTTTTTCGCAATATTCAATATATTTACAATATTTTTTCCCATTTGCAAGAGCCTTCAAGATCATTCGACGGCCACTTCTTATGGCCTTTTCTTTGTCTGTATCAGTTTTGCAGATGCTTGATTTATAGCAATGCTCTCATATTTAGCCAACAGGTTGCGATCGGATACTCAATTCTAAAGCGAAACTTGATCAGTGTGGTGTCTGCAATGGTGATAATTCTACCTGCACTTCTGTACGTCGACAAATTAGAATCACGACTATAGGTAAGAAGGGGTTTTCTCTCTTTGTAGACGACGTTTCTATTTCAAATTTTGTCTTTATTTCTTTAAATATCTAACTTCAGTAATGAAGCTGATTATTACAGAATGTTCTCCAATTTCTAGGGTACTACAATTTTGTGTTCCGGGCGCCGAAAGGTGCAAAAAATTTCAAGGTCGTTCAGCGCTCAGCCACCTCAGCAGCAGACACAATTGTCCTCGGTATGTTCTCAGTTTTTTGCACATCTTTAAATGCAAAGCTATCGAATATAGGCGGTAAAAGATCGCTATCGAAATTTCAATTTCCTGTTGCTGTTTTGCTTTACTTAACTTCAGACCTTTTGGGTTTTTCAAAACTGTGCAGTTTCTTGGGTTACTTTTTAGCGCTGCTCGATCATCAAATGCATTATGTTTTCAACGGAAACTATGTCCTTGGTCTTGGCAAGAAAAAGTTTGTTTCAAATGGTCATCAGGTGTATTACTCCGGCCTCGACGTTGTCAACGAAACAATATGGATACCCGGAAAGCTACGACAACCGTTTGTAGTTCACGTGAGTCGCATTACTTCATTATAATTTTTATTGTGAGTCATTCTTGAAATATTCCTAAAGGAGAGCACAGTTATGATGCATTTGCATAACATAGCATCGAAAACCGTTGCTTTCGGCTACTTTTGCAAAAGGTGATAATATAGTCAATTTTGTGACAGTGGGATGTGCAGTTTTCATTCCCCGATGCTCATAGCTTTTTCTGTAGGTGATACACCTCTTATGAGCACAGTTCTGCCATACCCCGCCTCTGTTATAGAAAAGAGATTCGTTTGTATCATGTCAGTGCGAGCTGATCCGATTGGTACGTAACCATCCAATGGAATTATAGCCTTTTTGTTGGCGATTACCCTTAAATGTGCCATTTTATTCGACAGGCTTGTGGATTAAAGGTCACTAGATCTCAGAAAACTCTTGTCTTGAAAATGGAAAATATGAGTTGCAAAAAGTTTATCGTTTCGAGCCATTGCATGTTTTAATAAGATGCAGCTGAATGTTGAATTCCTGTCAGAAAATCACTGCAAGCGAACATGAATTTGATCTCTGCCATCTGAGACACTTTCGCATGGCTAGACAATCCGAGCCCTTTGCATGTGTTTCCCAGGTGGACACAAAGACTTGATCTTGTCAAGTTTGTCTTTCATATTAACAGCTGTAATGAATATGATTACCGCAAGGTTTAAGGACAAAGATATCACTGCATCTTTCTCACAGGTACACAAAGGAAATCCCTTATTTCTACGAAGTAGTTAGGTGTGGTTTTGACTTCGTGCAGAAAAAGATCGCTTGATGAAATTATTAATTGAATTTGTTAGTTGTTCATCGTTTTAATCAAGACTCTTTTCAATAGTTATTTGTTTTTCTTTATTTTCACTGGCTATTGCTGAGGTCGAGACCGTTTCATTTCCCAAAACGTATTTTAAGACCTCAGAAATTTCTGAATCTTATTCTGCCGCCAATCCCCAAAATTCAATTTCTCAAGCCTTTGGAGATCTTTGAAAATTCAATCTTTGCAAAAATAAGCTTTTGAAAATTTGAGAGACCTGAAAAGCCTGTGGCGAATTCGCTGGTTGCGTGGTCTATAGATGAAATAAATTGTCCATTCTTCTCTAGATACGAACTAAGTTCTTTGGCCAGTGAAGCTATTTATGGTTTTCTGCTTTGTTAACTCCGAAACCAATGTACTATTCAGCAAAGATTTTCTTCATCAAAGTCTAGGGAAAATCCTTCTTGATCCTTGATCAATTTACTCACGCATTTAACCATTTGCGCGTTACAGAACAACACATCCTTTATGAAATCACCAATGAACAAATGTTACCATATCGCGTCATCCAAGCGCGAAAAACAAATTCAGTTTCCTTAGTATTTCGCGGCTCTCTCTTGCGGCAATGGTTTCTATTGTCTTACTAATGGCTGAACTCGGAAACGCTAAACTTTTGAAATCTAGATGAAGGGTCTTTGTGGCAGACTCTGCAGTTAGGCATTTCTTTGTTTTTAAACATTATAAAGACGAGAAAACAATTTAAAGCCATAACGGTTATAAATTTTTCTTTATGCACTTCCTATCTTCATATTCAATAGGAAGTTTATGTTACCTTTGAAAAATTGTTAGAAATGAATGTTCACATGCAGTAGATGATTGAACAAAGTACAAAAATGAAAAGACACATTCAAAATTGTTCGATTCATGAGAGAAAAATGGTTTTGATGAGATATGGATGATCGCCATGATGATCTTAACATAGATGCCATTTGGCTCTTTGTCCTTTTTCAACACATAATCGCGTACGCTCTCTTTCATCTAATTTTGGTTTCGTGGCTTAAATCAGATTTTAAAATTGTGCACCAGCTTTCAATCCGTATCTTCATAATTGCCCCCTGGCTGAGAATAGCTTTACTTTTTCCGGAGGTAAAATACCATAACAGCCGGCGCTCCGTTATACACGTTCCAATTTTAATAAGTTGACGTCCAGGCCTACAAATAACTTTCCTACAAATTCGTTGCTCTAAAGTGTCGTGTTCTTGGTATATTTACCTTCCATAAACTTCCAGTAATTACTATGTTCATCTATTATACGTCAATATATTTTGCTTTTCTTTTTATGTTTATAGGCATTAGCAGTTGGGGAGCATTTGCCAGTAAATGTTGTTGTTAGTTACATTTTGCCAGCAAATGGAAGTTACAAGTACATTTGGATGTTGAAAGACAACTGGAGTGAATGCTCAAGGGTTTGCAGAGGTACATATTTGTTAGAATTTAAGAAACAAATCTTAAGGATGTTTTGAAAATGCCCGTCTTGGGGGATCCTGCACCTATTAGAGAAATTTAAGGGTATCCATTTGCTTTTGATTGACATATTTTATTTTATGTGTTGCTTTTATTTAGACCCATTTGTAGAGAAGCCGTTTTTTATGCTGCAAGATATATAGCTAAAGAAAGTGTCTAGTATATAAATGCAGTGGTGTATTTCGCAACCTCAGTTTCCTCTAATAATTGCTTTTCTACTTGAAGGAGTACAGTATCGAGACTTCTTTTGTTTGAGGGAATCTGATTCCCAGAGAGTTGCAGATGACAAATGCGGTAAAAAGCGCCCCAAAACAGTCGTGCAGAAGTGCAATCGACATTGCACGTTAAGGTATCCTTTTATTTTATTGTATTTCAGGCAGCGATTCGCACCTAAGTTCGAAGTTGTCACTTTTCGCTAAAGCATTAGCATCAGAAAAAAGGAAATAACTATATATATAATCGCTTTTAGCTGGAGGGTGAAGGTGGAGCAAGAGTGTTCAGCGAGATGTGGAGATGGATTCAAAACTCAGTCCCCTTACTGCTTAAAGGTTTATGGCAATTCAACTGAAGATGTCGAGATAACTGACAATGCACACTGTGGTGAATTGAAGAAACCACCAAGGAAAGTGCCATGTCATATTTCGTGCACAGAAACGCGGTGGAAATACACAGTTTGGGGGAAGGTAATTATTGCTGTCAGATAACGTCTATCGGTGGTGAGAGAGTTATCACCGCATCATTAATACACATTAGAAGCAATCTTGGCTGAAAAGAAAAAAACGTCAAGTGTTGTAGACATGCTTTAAAGAGATTAGGGCGACTGTTGATTTGTCAAATAAACCCAAATACATTATCTATGGATGAATTCTTCAATATTAGTATAAGTTGAATTAGTATAATATCAGGAATTGTTGCAAGAAACATTTCATTTTTTGATATCACATCGTTTGAAACACTCCGCTTGCTATTCCTGCCACTCATTTTTAATGTGACGACAAATTTCCACTCAGAATCAAAGGATTGTCAGAAATTCTGAAATGAAATAAGCAACAAGCTGTTTATAAAAATATCGCGATTAATGGTTACTTTTCCAAAAAAAGTTTTCTTACCTAAGGTGAAGTAAGTTGCCCTTTTTTAAAAAAATAGGTCTTTTTTATAGTCCATATAAAGATTTACATGAAAAACTTACCAACTACACTACCCTTTAGCTACTGTATAAACACTACGGAAACGAGGCAGCTGGGAGCAATATTTTGTATCAGCCCAACGGCCATTACATTGAAAAAAAGAAATTGAAAATACAATGAAACATGAAAACGAATAACTTTTGCGACTTAAGACGATACAAGAAACGGCGTTGATGACAGAGCGATGTACAACTTAAATCTTTCGTACTGCAAGAGGGGGAACATTTGTTAACGATATTTAGACAATATAACTTCAGATTTTATTATTTGGTTTTATATTCTGGGAAATTTTTAACAAAAAAAAATTAATTTGCAAAGTTGTGTTTTGTGAGAAATGGAAAAAAAACTACAGTGATAAAATGTTACCCTTTATTAGGGAGAATGCTGTAGGTCTTAACGATCGTTGCTATAGCATCATATTTATTTTGAGAGGTAATAAAATATCTTTGTCGCGTAATGGTATCTATTGAACCCTCGTTTAATGCATTTCATATTTTTTTACGAAGAAGATGCATTTGCTTATGAAGAGCTATGCTCGCAATGTCGTACTAAGTATTCATTTCTTGTACAAAGTCCTTTCTTATTCTTGTTCCCTTTCAACGTACAGCACGTACAACTTCAATGATTATCAATTTATCTTTTTTTGCGCCTGATCTTTCTGACGCAGGTTTTTTTGGAGCCGGATCTTCTTGACAACGGATCTTTTTGACGCCAGATATTTTTGTTCAATTTGATAGTGTTCCAAAAGCTGTGGTGGAGGCATACAAGAACGCAAGGCTTTCTGTGTTGATTATCTGCTGAAGAAGCTGCCAGATGGGAAGTGCAACTCAACCAAAAAAAGTGTCCTTCAAAGGTCCTGCAATGAAATTGGATGCCCACAATGGAAAACGTCTGAATGGTCTATGGTGAGATCATATATTTTTGCCATTTTGTCCGAATTTTTATCATGGTGTTTAGCATTCGCTACATTTCAGTTCATTTAATAATGATTCAGTTCACTTTTTTGTACATTGTGTAACCAAGGTCATCATTTGAATCATTGTGTCATACATTTAATCTCGATAGTTTCCAGCACTTCATGAATATATTTGTATAAAGATTGTAATGAAGTTCTTTGTCTGCAGATTTCTAGTGAAGATCTTTGTGTGAAGGTTTTCATACGAAAATCTTTGTTTGAAAGTTTTTGAGGAAGATTTTTCTGTGCAAATTTTTGACACAGATTTTTCTGTGCATATTTTTGACATAGATCTTTGTGTGAAGATTTTTGGTAAAGATCTTTGTGTGAAGATATTCGGCATAGATCCTCTTGTGACGATTTTTTGTAAAAGTAATTTTTAGGATATTTTATTTCGAAGATCTTTTTCTAAATATTTTTCGAATTTATTTTTGTGAAGATTTTTTTCTTTATGATGATTACCCGTACCATGTTCTTGTATTTTTTCAGTGCTCGGTGACTTGTGGAAAAGGAAATCAAGATCGTTCTGTATTTTGCGTCGATGGCCTTGGGATAAAAACAGTGAGCCAATCATACTGCAATCAGACCATCATGCCGGACATCGTTAGGCCTTGCATTCTACGGGCGTGCCCGGCATGGAAGTTTGGAGCCTGGTCAGGGGTGAGTCATGTCGCTTTTGTACTTGACTTTTATGCAAAGATATCATTTCAATTTATAGGCAAATTTCAAATACATGTCTATACGACTTAATCTTTTCGTAATTGCTTCTTTTTCATTGTTTGAGTTATTTTGACGTATACAATTAGCCTCGGTTTTGATAGTATCAAAAGCTGTTGGCCATCACGTGATTATAGCTATCAATGCATCTAGTTAGAATTGATGAAACTCTTTAATGGACCTATTGCTAGACGTAAACATTTCCTAGTGTTTCACTCATTGTTTTATTCAATTTAATTCATTGTATGGCAGTGTTCTGCTACTTGTGGTGTTGGATATCAAACGAGGAAAATCGCTTGTAGACGTAGTGATGGTGAAAATATAGACGAAAGACAATGCCACACTCCTAGTAGGCCAGTTGATAGGCGGGAGTGCAGAGTGAAACCTTGCCCAGCTGATGTTCATGCTGCGATAGACGCCCTTGCAAATGAAGGCCAGGCAATTTGGATGACAGGAGCCTGGACAAGGGTAACTTTACAACGTTATATTTGTATGCATTAATAACTGCTGTTTCTTTATCATGGTAACGACGTTTTCCCTCTTTATGGACAATCTGATCTCAATAATCAGTACTTGGCGTATCATTTTAAATATCGATACCGCTCTTGACAATCTCCACGCTTTTTTGTTAATCATTGCTATTTCTTTGTGAATAGTGCAGCGTATCATGTGGACATGGCACGAAACGTCGCTATGTGAGCTGTCGGTACCGAGGGGGCCAGGTTGCCCCGACGAAAGAATGTGACGCTAAGAAGGAGCCAAAATCGACCCTGGCATGTAAAGAAAGGCCGTGTCCTGTCTGGAAAGTTGGAGGATGGAGCAAGGTACGTTGGGAAATCAGTTTTAGTTTGGTTAAAAGACATTAGGAAAGACACGTCTTTCTTTGAAATTCTGCTTAAATATGCATATTTATATAGAAGGTGTTTTTACTCAACTCATCGCGACGAATGTTTGCCTAAAAACAAATTACAAATGTAACTATGTAGCTAATAGCAAAAACTTTCATGATGATTCAGCCTAAAGATGTTATTTTGTCTGATCTGATAACCGCCATTTGCATTAATATTTATGCGATTTGCAGTGCTCAACGTCTTGTGGAGGAGGATTCCAGACGAGGGTCGTGGAATGCCGCGCAGGAAATCATCAAATAGCTACGCAGTACTGCGATAAGAACAGCGAGCCAAACGAAAAGCAAACATGCAATACTCAAGAATGTGTCGTACGCAGAGTTACTACGAACACAATTGTAGCGCGATCACCGAGACTTAAAAATCATGCCGAAGCAGAACCAAACGGTGTATGGGAAGCAGGCACGTGGTCCAAGGTTTGTAAACATTTTTTCTGAAACGCCCACCAAATGAGATGTATGTTTTAGTGTCTCTCTAAATTACCTATAGCCAACTCTAGTATCTTAGCCTGAGGCCCAAATGTCAATTAATTTGCTTTTTCACTTTCAGTGTTCTGTTACTTGTGGGACTGGTGTTAGACGACGGTCAGTCAAATGCAAATCATCAACAACATCTTCGTGCATGGAAACGAAGAAACCTGCAACAACGATGTCCTGCAACGAAATGTCTTGTCCGTTTTGGAATTATGGTCAATGGACAATGGTGCGTTATTCACATGTTATTAACGCGCTATTTACGCCCTATTCACCCAACGTTTTAGCATATGAAAATGCTTTATGCATCGTTTTTTGTATGATATTTTGTTCTAAAATATATTTTTAATGCAGGGTCTGCCAGGTAAAAATATCATATTTACTTGACGTTTGACTGAAGCATTTTACAAGCTTTGAACTCAGTGCGAACATTTCTGTGCAATTCATTGTAAAGCTTATCAGTAAAAATCTGTAAATAACTGTATTTTTACTTGTTCTTTACATTTAGTGTTCAGCCTCGTGCGGACAGGGTGAGCAGCGACGCCTGGTTGTCTGTCAGTCTAGCAATGGTACGTATCTCAACGATGCAGCTTGTGACGAAAAGTTCAAACCAAAGAAGCGGCAAATTTGCGAAAATCGCAAATGCCCCGAAATTGCAAGATGGTCAACTTCCGAGTGGCAGCCGGTGAGTCTACCATATTGTTCACCATTGCTTACAAGTGTCAGGCTTGTGTATAATGTTCTGCATATGATTGTCGATTTAGACAAAGCAGAGCACGAACGACAGATTCTTTGTTGTTTTCAATGTTAATGGTCAACCTTTTTTTATTACTTAAATTATATTTTTAAAGTGAATATCTTCCCTAAAAATAAATTAAAATAACCTGTTTATGATGTAAAAACTCTGTGACATATTAACTAATGGTTTAAAATGGCCTCCAAGAAATGCGTTTCTTGTATTTTCAGTGCAGCGTCACTTGTGGGCGAGGCTTCCAATATAGAGATTTGAGCTGCGAAAATGGAGAGGGCGAGCGACTCCCTAGAAACATGTGCTCCAGAAGGGATCGACCTACACAGCAAAAGCCGTGCTTTCCAGAAGATTGTCCAAAATGGGTTCCAGGAGAGTGGACTGAGGTATGTTTCTGATATTTCGTCGAGTTGATGGTTTAGAAATAGATGCATGTGATATTCTAATATTTTGGAGACGGGTATAAATTTGCAAAGAGTCAACACTGTTTGGAAAAACTTTGGGAAAATTTCAACCTTAGAAATCCGAACGTTTTTCCCTAGCGACCCTACTCAATATAATCTAATTCCTCGATCTAAGGCTGGCATTTGTCACTTGCTTTTAGTGCAACGATCATTGTCAAAGGACAAGAAAGATATACTGCGCGATCGGAGAGAAGGTTCTTGATCAATCAGCTTGTGGCATTGAGTCAAAACCAACAGAATCGGATGACTGTCCCTCTCAGAATTGTATCACAGTCCCAGAATATTCATGGAAAGTTGGTGAATGGGGATCGGTAAGGCGAGCTTTCTTGTTTCATCAATGCAAAAGTAGATACCATTTTACAACGTCTTTCTAGATGCAAGAAAAGAGTAGCCCTTTCAAATGCAACGGAGTTTTGTGAAAATCAAGCTTGATTTATTTCAATATATTTATGAGAGAAGACGTGTTAATTTATTAAAAGCGGTCAAATTTTCCATTTTTTAGCGCTTAAAAAATTTCACAAACCTGCTTATAGAGTTAAATTTTGTCATTTTTTTGTTAGATTACAAAGTTCTCGTCGTCTGCAAGAGACTTTTTTCATTTCCAAAATAATTAAATGCTATTTGATTCGCCTTTCCTTTGCAGTGTAGCAAAACCTGTGATTATTCAGTTAGAATGAGGTCTGTTGTTTGCATCGACGCATCAGCTCAAAAAGAGGTGTCTTTTGAATTTTGCACCAAAAAGTCCCCAGCACCAAGTCGACAACAAGCCTGCTTTGGCGGGCCGTGTCCTGCAAAGTGGCTTCCACAGCCTTGGAGTGAGGTTAGCATAGTCCTATCCTTTCTTAAACAGCTAAATTATTTCTTGCAAGTTAGCAGTATTTTGACCTCTCTCCCTCACTGGGCCTGCGGTAGACCAAAAATTTTAGCAGCTTTTTAAAAGAGAATTTGCCACATTTTGAGAATTTAATCAGAATATCTCAATTTGAAGCTAGAATCTAACGTTTCAATTTTTTATGGAAAACTTAAACCGAATTTTTGGATTATAGTGCTCAGTATCTTGTGGAATTGGATATCAAGAGAGAAGTGTTATATGTGAAGGAGAATTAGACAAGCGCCTTCATGAAGTGAGCTGCAATACAGAAAATAAGCCAGTTGAAAGGCGTGTCTGCAATATGGGAGCTTGCCAACAAATGTATAGATGGCAAACAGGAAACTGGACAGAAGTAAGTGTTGCATAAAATTGCAGAAAGCATTTCTCATTTTTTGAGAATCAATCGATTGATCGGATAATAAAGAGCAGCGAAAATAGGGAGGTGCAGCAATTAGGACGCTTTTGCTAAACCCGTTTTTCAGCAAGGAGTAATTAAATACGTTGACATTCTTCAGTCAAGGGCACTTTTATTTGACTGCTGACACGACGTAAATTTAACAAAGCAGATACCAATAATTAAATTGAAGCAGCGTATACCAAAGACCCACTGAATATAGCAGAAAGCTTTTTTTAAATTTAAAAGTGCGCATTTCTGGCCAAATTGGCGCTATTTCATTTTGTGCGAGAAAGGACGTCCTCAGTTTTTTCCTACTATCTTGATAAAATTTTCGAATTATGCGAAATTTTGATTGAGTACAGAGTATGGTAGAACTACAAATTTGATGTTGGAATGCAGCTCAGTCTCACGCGACTTTTCATTTTTTCATTTGTTCTGTGTAGAGTTTTGAATATTAAAATGAATAATCCCAAAATGGTCGGTGCTTTTGTTTCTTCTCTGGAACCTTAAGATGAGATTTAAATTTTTAATGGCTTTTATTAATCCCACATTTTTTCGAGTCTGTTTCATAACTTTGGTTCTTTCATGTAAAATACGAGAAATATACACTCAATTTGAAAATAACATCAAATGAAAATTCTTGATTTAGGGATTCATTTTAATAAGTTTCTCTCTGTCAACAAAACATGTCTTCATCGTTTACCATTCTTCTTTTTCCTGTTTCTTTTAGACTTTGTTGCTTGAATGGGATTTTGAAACTAGGTTGTTGGTGAAACTGTCAGCGAATTAGTGACCTTTAAGATTTTTGTGTTTTAGTGCTCACGAGAATGCAATATCGGTACATCGAAACGTGAAGTTTCATGCGTTGATCTGACTGGGAGAATAAACGGAGATTCAAAATGTGTTGCAAAGAGACCAGCCAGCTTCCGGGTGTGCAATGCTCACTCATGTAAGTACAGTCAGCATATGAAAGGACGGACTAAAGGACAATTCAACTAATTTTTGTTTACATAAATGTAATGATCAGAAGTGGGACATCTCCTCCTTTTCAGGCAAGCCAAGCATTTCTCTTAGCTAATCTCCAAGGATTTGGTCCTGTGCTATAAGCAATCTAAGCAGTGTCTAATGTTGATCTCTCTATCAGTTGCAATGTCTAATAATGCACTCTCCATCCAAAAAAGACATGCATACTTGGCTTTACTCGAAAAGTTGAGTTTTCTCCAATTTGTAAATTTTCTGAGGCATTGCTTCATATTATTGATTGTGTAGACTTTTCAATCCATCTGCTACGGTAATGAATCAATGCGGGGGAAAGGGGATTCTAGGGGCTGAGAAGTCATGGCCCTGATTATTTCCATAAGGGGAATCGTCATTGATTGATAACCACATTCATTTGATTTGATTTGTGTCATCCCACTTTTAAGTTTAATGCGGTTCCCTGAATTCCTGCTATTGATTGAGAGGTCTCAGTAATTCTCACTTTTAAGAGCGATCTATCTTTTAAGTTTCCTTAGTGGCTACCAAGGTCGTTATCATTCTAAAGCAACTACCCATGCACAGAATTACAAACGAGGGAATTTCTGCAATAGATTAATATTGCGATTTTTACAGAGCAGAGAGAGAATTCATTACCATTTTAATTTAGCGTTACGTTCAGTAGCATTGAATCTTAGTACAACGTACAACGCATCATAGATACAATTAAGTTTGATATGTGTCCCGAATTGAATCTTCTCTTCGGCCCCAAGTCTGTTTCAATTCATGTCCACAAATACATGCATGATAACAGAGTTCTTAACTGTGACGTCATGAAAAATCTGATTTAATAATTTTGATTTTTGATTGAAAGAACACCATGAAATATTTGTAAATATGCAAAACCAGTTGAAAGTATCTAAATAAATTATTTTGAAAAGATTTTCGTGACGTCATCACTTAGAAACTCTGTGATCCTCAATATCCTATGTAACATTCCACATGCATGTAATTCATTTAAATGTTCCTTGTAAAATTTACTCGTCTCCTTAGTTTCTTATTTCATTGAATAGCGTATTATGAAAGTTTTTGAGCATTATTGTACTCCAATATATTTATCAAACGTTATCAGTAGTGCTGAAATGGGCATAGATATTTTGCCAAATTTATAGATAAATGTTTATGAATAAGAAGTTTTTATTTTGTTTTTCTTGCGATGACGACTCACTTTCACTTTCAAAGCATACTTTCACGCTTTAACATCACCATTATGCAAGATTCATAAACTCCATGTCGATTCATAAACTGACATTAACTCCAATTCTATATACACTTAGAAAACATCTGCAACTTATTTGAAAGAAATCTCTTCTCTCGTTTGCCCTTTTTGACTAACCTTAGCCTTGCATTCATTCTATTTTCACGTGTACCACAATCAGTACGAGGCTCTCTATTCACTACAATACTAACTAACCTAGAGGCTTGTATTGGCTTACTTTTCGCCCACGGGCTCGATGATCCAAGGTCTGTGGTCTTAATAGTTTGAAACTATTCCAGTCATTCACGGAATTCATTCATCAACAAAAACCAAAAACAGGATTCAATTACTGTTACAATGGAAAGGATAATTGAAACTCATACTTTGGCAAGACATGGACAGATTGTCTGTCACCTTTAGGCGAGGCCTTAGAGCAATCGATATAGTTGTCTTTCCATTTGATGAAAAGTTTGTTTTGATTCCTTGTTACCTTTAATACCTTTCTTTGTTTGTCATTAATGTTCGTGAGTTTTTCCTCTTAACTTGCCAAGCGCCAGTGACAATCTTTCTAATCTCATCTTGAGCATCCCATAATAATGGATCCCATAATATCAAGTTGACCATACACGATCATTTTGGTTCATAACGTTATCTGTCTGGTTCTCAATTCAGTGTAGGATTCCTTATATGCCGACTTGGTTGATTGGTCATGTGTGCAACTGTCGTATCAATATGACCCAAGTCTCGTTCAGCTGTTCACACTATATAGAAAGGTCAACCTACTTTCAAGCAACCATCCTCAAAAGTACTGACTGCCTGAAAGCCTTTGAACTTTTGCATTTTCTTCCTGGTTAGAGACTTGAATCGTGACGTCATCGCATGTTTCTTTACCCGTTTCATTATCATATATTTTACCTTTTTTTCTGAAAATTTATAATTTTTCACAGCAGCTGCCGATCAAATTGTCTAACATAACGTGCATGTTTTTTTAGGTCCTCCGATGTCGTGTCGTGATGTACAACAGCAGCAAGGCATCTTTAGCGATGGGGAGCGTTTGCTTCTGTCAAGAGATAAGAAATTTGTAAAGGTATGATTTTAGCAATCATCTTATGGCTGATTGGCAATCATCATCCATCTCATTGTCACTTTTTGCAATTATCATCCATCACATTATCACTGATTTACAATCATCATCCATCACAATATCGCTGATTGGCAGTCATCTTTTAGTTATCAATAGATATTTGATTGAACATATATATAATTGCTGTTACGATTGAACTAAGGCCTTCTACTTAGAAAATATCCAAGGAATAAAATTAAGAGGAATAGCCTGTGAGATTGAAAATGTATTAAAATACAGTTACTCGAATTACGAGTTAATATATTAATAAAACCATAGAAGTTTTGAGGCCCTGGTAACAAATGATTTATCTTACTATTTTGCACCGTTTTAACTCGGTCATTTACCAGGTTTTAGACCTGAATTTTTGATCCGATTCTTGAATGTTACAGAAGTTTTCTACTGGGTACAAAGAGCATTTATGATAGAATAGTTTTTTGATTCACTAGTTAAACATCATTGAATTATTCTTAACATTATTGAATTTGTTAGTAAGGAAATATTCACACCTACTATCCTAGGACTACATTCGGCCGCATATAGTAATTATTATAAAAATAGTGGTACAGTTAGACTGGATTATTTAAGATTAAATATTGGATTATGAACTCAAATAAATTGAGATTTGATCATTTGGATCTTGGTCCTGAAAAAAATGGATATTTTAGTGGCACCGCAATGAACCGTTAAGGCTCGCCTGTGAACCGTTAACGCAATGAAAGGCTCGCCTGTGAACTGTGAGTCCCTCGCCGGGCGTGTTTGCTTGAAATCATATTGCATGGCACAGCCTTGTTTTCAAAGTTTCTTATACGTAAATACATTCACTGTTATCTAATGCTAGGTTTATTGCGAAGGCATGTCTACAAACAGACCAAGGGAATTTATCACACTTAGAACTGGAGCAACAGACAACTATTCAGAAATCTATGGCAAAAGGTATTCAGTTGAATTGCTGTTGTATAAATATGTAAGCACTTTTTCGGTTTAATCAAATGTGAAACGAACTTGCTCTTCGTGCACATACGAAAATTGCCATAATGCTGCATCCTCTAACATAATATATATATTATGCGAAGGTAAACATTGGAAATTGTAGATGCTTAGATTGAGCTGTTTTAGATTGCATTTTTCCATGTTTTCAACCATTTTTGCTGATTTCGATAGAATCAATTTTTAGATTGCGAAATCGAAAGACTTGTCCAAACAACGGAACCAAAATAAAACACTGTCCAAACTGCTTGGAGTTCTCTTCGTCTGGCACTACGTATTTCAGCAAGATTAGAATCGATTTTAAAAGATTAATTTTGATACGTGAGTATGCATTCAGTTGACTACCTCAATCTAGACTAAATACATATTTCTAATTTTATTACCATTGGTAATATGATTATGGTCGTTGTGCTTCAAGGCAGTGTCATATTAAGGCCAACTGCATGTGTGTGTGTTGTGCTTTAACTGGTTAAGGATCGTGACAAAGCCCGCATATAAGACATTAAGTAAAGTTTACTAATCTTGAGTTGGCATAAATTATCGACTATGACAGAAGAGCCACCGCGTAAACCCTTCGTGATTATTACTCTGATCTTTCTAATCAACCACTCTTAAAAGGATAAGGTGTGTGGCCCAGAGAGAAAGGGACCTTCGTATTGACATTTTAAAGTTGATACAGTAAGAAAAGCCGACTTTCATGCATTTGCTTCTAACTAATTGAAAAAGCTTTCATTGAAACTGAAACAGAGTGTGGAATCACACATCTATTGAAATTACTAGTTAAGTATAAATGCCTTTTAACCTACAAGATCATCAGTTTGTTCTTTGCGTATAAGATAAATGTTTCACTGTTCTTTTCCTGCTAACGAGGTTTCCTTTTCAATCAGTTTCTGTCTGGCTGTTGTTGCTTAGTTTTATGTTGTTTACTTCTAGCGGAGGACACAACTTTTGCAATCAAATTCGGCAGGTACCCGCCTCCTCTAGCTTCTGCAGGCGATTGTTTTAGTCAAGCTTATTGTCCGCAGGTGAGAGCACGTGGTTTAAATTCCTTTCTTTCATTTAACATTCAGCGATATCTTTTAAAAATGCTACATGGGAGAATTTGACATGTGAGACAGCGGCGGAAATTATAGGGGTAGGGGGGAAGGCTCAATTCCCCTCCCCAATCAGAGATCTCGTCGGAACATCTGAGCTTTCGTTGGATAATTTACAAACTTTTAACGTGCCTAAATGACTGCAAGAAATCGTTCTGGAATGTATTTTAAGCAAATCTAAAAGGCGTGTTTGTCAAATTTTCTACTCCCCGCTCGCAGATGATTCGCATTTTCCCTTTCTGCCCCAGGGACCTCTGCAAAAATCAAAATTGCTTGCAAATTGTATATCTAATTTCAATTCCGTAAAGATTAGCCGAACTTTTCATCGGGTTCTTCCAAATAAAAGTTTTTTTCAAACGTATTTCTCACTGGAGAAAACAAGATAAAATGCAGAAAATGAAGGTTACAATTCCTTGTCAATAGTGTTATCGTTCGACCTCTTGCATCATCAATTGCGTTAGATTAGATATCGATCGTGATATCAAAAATCCTTAATGGATTGTTCTTATGGATTAGGCGTGACCAGCAAAGATTTCTTAAGGGTCCCGCCCCAAAACCACCTATTTTCATCAAAATGTGCATTGGTAAAGTTTCCTTAAAATTAGGCATGATCCAAGATGTTATCTCGTCGAAAAATTGTAGAATCGTAGGCCTGAGCCCCCCTCCCCCCTCCCCCTCCAAATGAAAGCTAAAATTTTCGCCACTGTTGTAAGATCAAGCAAACTTAATAATCCATAGTTTGAAAATTAAGGTTTTTGAAAAAAAATATGCAAAAAGGCTTGTTCCTTTAAAAATCAGGCTTCTCTCTTTTTCAGGGGTCTTTCAAGATGAACTTGACTGATACTGGCTTAAGTCTGGACCCTTCTGTTAGTTGGAGATCTAGTGGCTATTTCGTTTCACAACAAGTTAAAAAATATATGGTAAGTTGCTCAAGTGTTTTCTGCCATGCCGAGATTTCATCCCACGCAGATTAGAAGCCGATTGCTTCAATGACATACCAGGACATACCGCCAGTTTTTAATCTAAAATTTTGAATTATATTTCAACTTTTCCTAGTTTTTTTAAGGAATCTCATGGAACACATAGAGTATTGTCGTTCTTGCCTTGGAAAACGAGTTCGACAAACAGAACTTCATTAGCCTTTCTTTTCTTACACCAGATTGTCATCCAGTCTTTCCTTTTCTATTTACATGAAAGACATAGACATTTTTGCCAGATCGTACCGTACCTAATTTTAATTACTTCAGAAGGTTTGATACAGAGACGTGCTTTTATTGTCGGCCTTCTTACAAAAATCTGAGATTGCAATCTTAAAAAAAGTGGTATCCGTTAGGCGCAACCTTAGGCCAGCTAATAAATTCTTTGATTTTTCGAATCTCTGTTATTCAATAAAGATAACGGAATTTTTGTTCCCTTCAGGATGGACGTGTTGTTATTGGTAGGTGTGGTGGATACTGCGGCATGTGTAGTCCCAATGAACTGAAAGTTAGATGCACTAATAGCTGATTCTATACCACCGTAAATTTGTAAGTAGCACTCGGTTGTCACCCAATTTCGCCATTCTCTTTTTCATGCAGTTTCATTGGTTTCAGATAATCTATCAAGTTTATTTTTGAGAAGATGTCATTCCTCTTTTAAGAAGACTCGTGTTTCTCTTTTTCAGATCTTAAGAGATTGTAAATATCCCTTTGATATTGTAAAAAAGAACTAATGTCTTAACAAGACATTAAAGATCTCGCTCCGTTTGGCGAGCAACAATATTACCGCAACAGAACGTTGATGATGTCATGGTGCAAAATTGAAAGACGCGTTGAAGCCGATTGAAAAATGGATTACCAAGCACTCTACTCAGTCTGTACCTGCAGTTTTGTGTTATCCTGAACCAAGAAGGGAGGAACCATCATTTTCACAAAACTATTACACCATGTCTTGGTTGTCCATTGACATGCATTTCATGATCAACATTTTAAGTTTTTTCATAAAACTTTTCTAACATTTGCTATTTAAATAAACAATTACAAAATTATATATATAATATAAATATATATATATATATATATGAAAGCCTGCGATAAAGAAGTATTTTTCTAGATATTTTTGAATTATTTTATAATCGCCATATTAACTTTTTAACAAGAAACTAAATTGAAGAGAATTAGCTGTGCTAACATTTTAACTTTTTCTTATTGACCTTCCTAGACGCCTGTTTGTAGCCAGCCTTTTGTTAAGTTCTGTTTAAAGTTTCGACATCTAATTACGTTTCATGTCTAAAAACGAATACTAGCAACTTTGTACATATTAGTATTTTAATGAATTCTAAAGACATTTATGCTGCATAATTTTAGAAACTATTCAAATGAAGGATAAGGGCATTTTTCATTATTGCAACATTTAATAAACATGTTTCATCTGTAATTGTGCAAGAATATTTTTATCGCTTTTTACTATTTATTCGGTTTTTTCACAATGATACATTTTTACACTTGGGTTTTAAGAAGCTCTGTCGGGTTTTGTAAATGCCTACGTTTTCAGTAGAATGTTACGAGCTAGAAATCTAGCAATTAGCTACAGTCGGTGGTTGTGCAGTCCAAAGAGCTCATGTCATAAATTATAAGTAGACCGAACTGTGTCGTGTTGCTGACATGTTTTAAACGAGAGTACACGCCGATTCCCGCCCACGACACCCGCGCACAATACCCGCGCAGAATTCCCGCCCACGATAGCTTGCTACCAAACATTGGTGACCCACAAGTTATCAAAAGGAGATCATGAATGCAACGTGGTATCTCTGCTTGAGTCAGACGCTCAACATTTTGATTTTGCAAATGAGTTTTGACAACCTCTGTTCCTCCTGCAATTTTAAATGACTCTTTTTGAGTCCCATATATTTCTAGGCTTAGTGATCTTTTCTTAAGCTAAAATATTTAATCTCTTTCGAATATGATATATGATATAATATCTTTAGATAATAATACTTTTGCTTTTACTCTGTAAGATATTTTCCAGTTGTTTCTAGACACAATAATATTTTGTTATTGGTTTCTTCCTGCACCTTTGAATACCCCAATTTTAGCTAGTGCAGTAAGCCAAATTTAGATATCTAAAAATTGTGTTATATTCTGTAGTTTATGTTCTGGTAATCTTTTTGAAGATGCAACAAAATTCATTTTAATCAAATTGCTTGTCTTTAAATTCAATTTGTTATATTTATATAAATACCAATTGTTACAATTACGTTTCAGGTTGTTTTTGAGTTGACACAAAGTGCATAACATATAAAGTTGTTGCAATTTCTCGCATTTTTTAGATTTTTTGTATAAATTTTATGACCATTCGTTATTTATCTTGAATTTCGATTTACATAATCATCGACATACTTCAGAAAGCATAATTATCCACAATGGCAACCTGTTTTGCCAAAGGTTCACTTACATCTTTTGCTAGAGGGCCTAACCAGCAAAGACAGTGAAAATTTTTTGGATAGACCCACATAAAGACATAATGATAACAAAATGAAATAATTATAATATTTGACTATTCAGTGTTTGATACCTTGGACTTCAAAACACTATTCTTCCTAAGACATAATGTCTCTGCGTCTTGATACCAACTTCCACCCAAGCTCTGAAGACATTTTTTGGTGTTTCACACTCCGCAAAATGTCGAACGTTTTTGTCCATGTTGCAAAACGCTTTGAACATGTTGCAAATTGTGTCAACCACATCGAATCATTATGTGTCAAAAAACAAAATATCCATTACAAAAACAAATACAGAGAAAGGAAACAGCATGCCATATAGGGCGTCAAACCTGGAAACGGATATTTGGTAAAGTACAAGAAATAAGAAAGGCCTAAATAACTCAAAATTCAATGAAAAAGAGGAATTAGGAAAATATACAGTTTTTAGTGTTAAAATTTTGTGAGAAAACGTCGAGCAAACGTCGAGAAATCAGTTGTTTTTCTTCTTTGCATATTTTTGTGTATTTTGAACTCAGCTTCTTTCTTCTGTTCAGCAGAATATAAAATAATCAAAATGTAGTTTGTATTAATGAGCTCTAAAGTCTGAATGAAGTGCCAGCAAAATAAAGGGTAATTGAAAGTTTGGCGTTGAAGCGTGATAGAAATACAGCCAGCACAATGCCTTGATTGAAAAATAGGTATCTTGTTGTGGCTGTGTACGAATAATACGCTTACTCTTACGATGCTGTTGTAGCTTTTTGGTCTTTATGTATACTGTCGGTGCAGAAGTGCCGAGCACTGCTTCATTGCCAGGTCCGTTTAAAGTCAATAGAAAGGATTCCTCCCAGTTTTAAATTGAATTTTTCTGTCTGCTTTCAGAGTTGTAACTTTGCACTGTTTTGTCTCAGGGCACTGCACAGATCTACAGGATATTCTAAAGAGGCCACCACTAAAACAACTTGCACTTTTCAAAAAGGACGTGCCTCACTTGACTCCGTTCTCCCATGCCCCTGCCATTCATGTGCCGCAAGCGACCTTCTTTTGAATAGCTAGTTTTTATCAGCCAAAAGCTGGTTAGTTTTCAGTTGGGTAAGCATTTGGCTACAGATTCAGACGCCTGATTCTTTGCAGAGCTTTTGCTTTTAGGAGTGAAAACCATTGAAAGTGGTAGTGCCTGGATCAAGGACGCCTACGCCAGGGGGGCAGAAGGGCTAGTTGCCCCCTTGGCATTGCGAAATTGAGCATTTTCTTAGTTTCACTATTGTTTTGGCCTTTTTCTTTGCGCTTTGCATCCGTTAACAGAGAAATTATTCATTTCATAGATCCCCTTAACTTCAAATACAACCTTCGAGCCTTAAAAATGATCTTAAATCGCTAAAAATTTAATTTAAAATCTAATGGACAAGAGGTTCTTATGTCCCGTTTTTCACTTCCTTATATGAGCATGGTTAATGAGATTCTAACGCACAGTTAATGAGGTTATTATGTACGATTATTGAGTTCCTTATACGCGCTTATTGGATTCTTATGCACTGTTATTGAGCTTATTATTCATGGTTATTGAGATTATTATGATCGGTTTTGAGATTATTCTGTACATTTAATGAGTTCTTATGGACGGTTACTGAGTTCCTTTATGGACGGTTATTGTGATTATTATGCATCACGGTTATTGAGAATATTATATACGGTTTTTTTGGATTATTGTGTACAGTTTTGAGTTCCTTATTTATGATTATAGGATTCTTATTGACGGTTATCGAGTTCCTTTATGGACAGTTATTGTGATTATTATGCATCACCGTTATTGAGAATATTATATACGGTGTTTGGGATTATTGTGTACAGTTTTGAATTCCTTATTTATGATTATAGGATTCTTATTGACGGTTATCGAGTTCCTTTATGGGCGGTTATTGTGATTATTATGTATCACGGTTGTTGAGAATATTATATACGGTTTTTTGGGATTATTGTGTACAGTTTTGAGTTCCGTATTTTTGATTATAGGATTCTTATTGACGGTTATCGAGTTCCTTTATGGGCGGTTACTGTGATTATTATGTATCACGGTTATTGACAATATTATGTACGGTGTTTGGGATTATTGTGTACAGTTTTGAGTTCCTCTTTTATGATTATAGGATTCTTGTTGACGGTTATCGAGTTCCTTTATAGACGGTTACCGTGATAATTATGTATCACGGTTATTGAGAATATTATGTACGGTGTTTGGGATTATTGTGTACAGTTTTGAGTTCCTCTTTTATGATTATAGGATTCTTATTGACGGTTATCGAGTTCCTTTATAGACGGTTACTGTGATTATTATGTATCACGGTTATTGACAATATTATGTACGGTGTTTGGGATTATTGTGTACAGTTTTGAGTTCCTCTTTTATGATTATAGGATTCTTGTTGACGGTTATCGAGTTCCTTTATAGACGGTTACCGTGATAATTATGTATCACGGTTATTGAGAATATTATGTACGGTGTTTGGGATTATTGTGTACAGTTTTGAGTTCCTCTTTTATGATTATAGGATTCTTATTGACGGTTATCGAGTTCCTTTATAGACGGTTACTGTGATTATTATGTATCACGGTTATTGACAATATTATGTACGGTGTTTGGGATTATTGTGTACAGTTTTGAGTTCCTCTTTTATGATTATAGGAGTCTTGTTGACGGTTATCAAGTTCCTTTATGGACGGTTACTGTGATTAAAAGGTATCACGATTATTGAGAATATTATATACGGTTTTTTGGGATTATTGTGTACAGTTTTGAGTTCCTCTTTTATGATTATAGGATTCTTATTGACGGTTATCGAGTTCCTTTATGGACAGTTATGGTGATTATTATGCATCACGATTATTGAGAATATAATGTACGGTGTTTGGGATTATTGTGTACAGTTTTGAGTTCCTCTTTTATGATTATAGGATTCTTATTGACGGTTATCGAGTTCCTTTATGGGCGGTTATTGTGATTATTATGTACCACGATTATTGAGAATATTATGTACGGTGTTTGGGATTATTGTGTACAGTTTTGAGTTCCTCTTTTATGATTATAGGATTCTTATTGACGGTTATCGAGTTCCTTTATAGACGGTTACTGTGATTATTATGTATCACGGTTATTGACAATATTATGTACGGTGTTTGGGATTATTGTGTACAGTTTTGAGTTCCT